ATTTCTATGTAAAGCCTGCGTCTCATTACACTTCACTTAGGTTTACGATAGGGTACAGGTGCCCCTGGTTACCCTCCAGTGTCAAATCACCATTGAGGCACCGTGCATGTCACCGGAGAGATTTAGCGCAGAATTATTTTATTGCGGCATGATCAGAAGTGTCCAACGCATGGTCCAAAAATACAAATTTCTGGTCTGAAATGTTCCAAAGATTTAAGTGTCCAAATTTTTGGTCCGAAGTGTAATGTCCATGCATTATCCTGCCGAATTCTCATCAAATTAGGATAGAAGATATATGATTTTACATAAATTATAATATCAAATAGTTCTTTTAAAGGTTAATGTATTACATAACCAAAGTATAGGCATTGTATAAAATATCAGAACTGTAAATGAAATAAAAATTGTTAACATTAATTCTGCAAGCGTGTCTTGAACTGGACTCACGGTCAACGCTAACCACCTGATATCAATTTACTAATCAACTCTGTCCCCATCCCTTTATTACCGTATTAAGTGTATATTAATATTATGAAAACTAAATACTTATTCAAATGCAATTCTCCAAAAATATCACTCTGCTCATTCATAACACATTTTCCGTTGGTGGGTTTGGTATTCCTAAGCTATATCAACAAAGCGTGAACTTGGGAAAATTCATTAGCCATTGAATAGTACCGACAGTTCACTACGGACCGATAACAATACGATTCGAATCCACAAATTTCCATTTATTTTATTTAGTTTGAGAACTTTGATTTTTTGTTTGTCCGTTATGCCTTACTCACCGTGTATTTCAAGTAACGCCGGAATATGAATACAACGCACGATTCGTGCAATAAGTAAGCAGCATTGTGCAATAATGGCGGATACCTGACAGGATTTCAAACGAGGTAAGTAAACTGGGGAAAAATCACATTTTCCGGCGTTACCGCGAAACACTATTCACGTACACCAGCTTTATCTCATAAAAATGACTTGAATCACATTTTATCAGCTTATTTTCATTTTTTTATGTCACCAGAAGTTGAGTTAATTTCACTTGCCTACGGAAAATCGAAATAAAACGGTATGATAGGCATTGTTGCACTTATAAGAGTCGACAAAAAGCCAAAATATTTCCCAAAACGGTGGTCAAGCCATCATTTCCACGAATGATCTTGAAAAGTAAGCAATTTCGTGGAAATAATCTTGATGAGAGATAAAGAGTAATGTCTTCGCAGCCGTATGCGGCTATTTCTTTACTTAAGTTCGAATAAATAAAAAAAAAATATTGGCAAGTTTACTTACCGCGTTGGAAAACTTCTGTCAGGTACCCGCCATTTATTGCAGAATTCTGCGTTACTTAAGTTATTGCACGAATCGTGCGTTAATTTCACATTCCGGCGTAAATGATTATACATGGTGTTACTACGCGTTGAAAATCGTTAAAAATCTACAAACGTCCGGCAGCGATAGCGGCACCAAATCACCCAAAGACAGACATGTTTATTGAAAGTAAATAGTAAATACAAAAGATTGTGATTAAAAAAAAAATCAAGAGCTTCTGCCTAGAGGGGGGAATGCTCAACATTCTTTTTTTTCCCCTAAAGTCAAACACATTAGAGGTTGAATAAGAATAAAGGAAATAAGTAAATTTACTTTGACGGTCAATGTCAAATTAGAATAATCATCATGTCGGTTTTGTCATATGTGTTATTTTGTGCAAGTATAAATTAGATATGTTATTAAATAACAATGTAATCAGAATTTAAGCAAATTCCAATATTTTGACCTTGACGGTCAATGTCAATGAAAGATCTATATGAAATCAGAGTAATTCAACATGACAGTTTTGTCATATGTGTTCTTTTGTGCAAGTATGAATCTCATATGTAAGTAATTAACAAAATTATGACAATTTAAGCAAATTTCAATAATTTGAACTTGACAGTCAATATAAATTAAAGTTTAAGATCAAATCAGAATGATATAACATGTCTGCCCAAATATGAACATTCTTAATCCGATACTTGTTTCTTTCGAGTTTGGTTGTAAGCAGAGTTTATCTATTTGCGCTTTCCACGAATACCAATGTAAACTAGAAGAGTTTTTGTCACAAAAACATATGTCTCCCAAAACTATGTATGGTCACTCATGTGAAGTTTCATTGAAATCCCACCAGTAGTTTAACCTGTGAAGGCCGAACAAGATTTTTCTAATTTGAGGCCTGGTGGCCATTTTGTGTTGCGAAGCGGAACGTGCCGGTGATGTGCACAATTATAGATGGTATTGATCAATTTTTGTAAAGTTTGGTTGAAATGCAACAAGTAGTTTGACCTGTGAAGGCCGGACAAGCTTAATGAGGACGGACAACCGGACGGACGTACGGACGGACAGGCAGACGGCGAAGGCAAAAACAATATGTCTCCCAAAATTTTTTGGGAGACATAATATGTAAAACAGTTGAAGGATGAATGCTACATATTATAAATCATACTCTGGTTCACTGCTGATTTATTTCCCAATTTACATTTTAAATCGTTATTTATTTAGAAACTTGAAAATTGCCGGAAGAAATGTTCACTTTTATGAAAAGACTGTATTTCTTAAAATACAGCCCTATTTACACAATTACATGTTCACTCTTGATGTCTGCAAGATTTTGCTTAAAATTATCGATTTTACACCTGACGTTTGTCAGTGTTTAACATTTGTTAAAAAAAACTGTTTCTAAACAAAAGCCGGCACAAGATATGCTCCATAGTCATTCACCCAGGTCTCTATTTTTTCAGCAATGTACGGTTCAATTGCTGGGATATAACATAACCATTCATGCTATCTATATAACCACTCTAACAATAACACTTGACAACTGTACTTTACTCGTGATCTAACTAAAGAAGATTTATACTGCTGTCAAATCTTTCTTTGATATATATATACCCCTATAGACTTTATGTATTCTTATCATAGGAAATTTCTATTTGCCCCAGATATAAATTGAAGTGTGTTGAGTGTGTCAGTCAAACCTGTATATAAAGATCATCCAAGGCCTGTAAACAATGTCATCCAAGACCTGTAAAGAAAGGTCACCCAAGGGAGATACTGAACATGGTCTTTCAATTTTAATGGTCTTTATGAAAAGATAAACCTGTTTCATTCATAACTATACACACGGGGGAGGAAGTGTTACACGAGGGATGGAGTTCTTATGATAACTTGCCAAGGAGTTCTGGTGATAACTGTCACGGAGTTCACCGGAAAACTAGTGTATATCCTGCAAAAACACTTGTCAAAAATAGCAATTTTCATCTTTAATAAGTGAGTTTTAGGTGCTAAATTAATCTTTAATGATTAAGCTTGCCTTACACATTGCATTATGTGTCAAAAACTTATTCATAGTCCATTTTTCATCGCCTCTTGCTTAAAATCTTGTAGTTTTGAGTAAAATTTCCAAATTATTTGCCAATGCGCAAGTATTGGCCTGTTTATTTCAAGTCTTCATCCTTGCCATACATAATAACATATTTATAATGCAAAATTGCAAACATAAACCCCGACTACCAAATTTATACACGATTTTTCAAATGTCCCGGAGTTTTTGTGATACCTCAAAATATTACCTGAAGTTCTTATGATAACTTTTGTTTTTGCCAATGTGTTTCTTCTTTACGGCACGTTTTTTCAGTAAGGTTGTAAATCATTATGAAATGTAGTACGTTCATTTTTTTGCACAAAAATGAGGATACATAATGTTGGTTTTCAGTGTTTTTGGTTAGAGATATTACTAAGATATATTATCTCCGTTTCTTTTTTATGGTATTTTTGCTGACGCAGATTTCGTAGACTGGAAAAAGGATTGATGTAGAGCATTGACTTTCATGATAAAATGCGCTCAAGTATGATGTCTTCATGTATATTTTTCTGTCGATGTTTGATGGGTATTTCCCCTATATAATCTTAGTGTAGGAAACTCTGCTAATAATGTTGCTTTAATTGATAACAAAAATATATCTTAGCCAGACTTATTTCGCTCGAACTTGGAGGGACTTGCAAATTTGTTCGAGAGATCGGTAGTTATACAGCCAACCGTAGTTGAGGTGTTATCATATTGTCGTAATTTGGGAAACATAGGTTTGAAGAAATTATCCTGGTTTTATACATGTACTTCTTTATTGTGGTATAAAATAATACAAATTACTTAGCCCTTAGATAAGCGATGCACAACTATATATTATCTGCTTAAGAAAGATGGTTGAGAACAACGTGTAAGTTTTGAGACATTTTTGTTTTGTGGTTTAGGCCATGATACTGCCGCTGATTCAATCTTTACTATGGATGATAGCCTATCACATGTTTATCCTTTGCATATTAGTGCAAAGGATGAGCGTATTATATTTCATAAGTATTTACACCCTGATTGAATAATAAAAAACGCTAAAACGTGCCGTGATGTAGCGCAAGAAACACATTGGCAGAAACAAAAGTTATCATAAGAACTCCAGGACATATTTTGAGGTATCACAAGAATTCCGGGACATTTGAAAAATCGGGTATAAATTTGTTAGTCGGGGCTTTATGTTTGCAATTTTGCATTATAATTAAGTAATTATGTATGGCAAGGATTAAGACTAAAAATAAACAGGTCAATACTTGCGAATTGGCAAATAATTTGAAAATTTTACTCAAAACTTCCAGGTTTAAGCTAGAGGCGATGAAAAATGGACTATGGATTAGTTTTTGACACATAAAACAATGTGTATGGCAAGCTCAATCATTAAAATTTAATTTAGCACCTAAAACTTACTTTTTAACGATGAAAATTACCATTTTTGACGAGTGTTTTCGCAGTATATACAATAGTTTTCCGACGAACTCCGTAACAGTTTTCACAAGAACTCCTTGGCAAGTTATCATAAGAACTCCATCCCTCGTGTAACACTTCCTCCCCCGTGATACATGTATAACATAATAAACATTAAGATTATGTTTTTATTTATTTATTTTAATGTACATACCTGTCAAATGAAAAATAGACTTGAATCCAAGACCAAATTGTCCAATCTTCAGCGGTTCATCTTTTTTCATACTTTTATTTATAGATTTTATTCCTTTCCAGTCCTTCTCGGTAAACTGTGCGTCATTAAAGAATACCAAAGCTGGACCCTTTGAAAAGGATATGTCAATAATTCTATACTCTTGTTGAATTCAATTATGAAACTGTGCATGAGCTACCAAGACTAAAGATCTATTTTCTGCTCACTGATTTCACATGCATAATTTAAAATGCAAATGGTTATCGTTGAATTGAAAATATTGAAGGATTTCATCATTTAGTTTAGGTGTCAATCAAGTGTCTGAAAGCGAGGTTGTGTCTATTTTCTAATGAAAGGAGGCCTCTTGTGCCCGTTAGTGCATTATTTCAGGCTTATAAAAACATCAACCTTCCTTAAGATAGATAATTGGAAGACTTCCTTGAATGAAAAAAATCAACTTAAATTACTTTTCCAAGGAGGCCCACTACGAGTTAAAACTGAAAATGGGTTGCAAATAAAAGTACGTCGAATCATTACCGAGTTATAAAATTTGCACATGAGAATTCATTATCCCTCCTCTTTAATGGTTTCAAAATTATCGAAAGAAAATTAATGTTAAATGAACAATGAATAACAAACATAAGACAACCCGAAACGACAGTAAAGGTCATAAATATGCACCAAATATAAACGAAGCAGTATCTAGAAAGAATTTTGCCAGTGAAACGGTCAGATGTTATGAAAATTGTATCCAAACTTTTTCATGACGGTTGGTAGTTTTAAATACTTTTTGAATTATTAACTGAAATAGTCAGACCATGTAACAACCTTAACAGAAATTCAGAAAAGAAAACTGGTCATTTTTTTGTCTACAAATTACTGACAAAGCCATATTTTCTTAAGGCCAAACGTATTCCAAATTTCGTAGCAGTATCTTAATTGGTGCAGTTACAGAAAAGTGATATAAAAAGCACTACAGTGGTTAACGACGCACGGGTGAGTAGGATAGCTCTAAATAAGTAATAGAAAGAGCACCGAAACACGAGGCTATCTGATTTGTACGAGGGGGCGTAGCCCCCGAGTATAAATCAGATTGCCGAGTGTTTTGGTGTTCTTTCTCTTTTGTATCATAGTCAAACATAAAAACACGTTTCCTGTTGTCACAATTTTAAACCCCGGGAAAAAGTAACCAATGATCGAGTATCTGAATATGATATTTCTGCCGCTTTCCCTTTCTCTGCCGTCACAATATGTAAACCCCAGCAAAAATGAGCCAATCAACGGGCATGATCTGGAGTGCGGGTAACTGATACCTGCACTCCAGTTACCGCACTGTGCATGTATATGTATACGATTTAACTCTGACACTTTTTCAACAGAAAGGTCCCCAAACTATGATACAATCTTCAAATAATTAACATTAAATTAAGCAGTGGTGTATCAATATACCTTCTGACGTAAGTATCAAACTTATATAATTTTAAGTTTAAGTTTTAAATCGCTATCTTTACTTATTCTAGAGTTAGTTATGTAATTTAGAAGTATTTTCTATCACCGAAGGAAAAATTTAGTAAAAAATTCAAAATACATCAATGAAATATTTAACTTGAAACAAGGAATCCTTCAGATATTACATTTACTCGTATATTGCAAGTTTCAAATTAACATCTACACGTGTTCTAATGTCCAGAAAAGAGTAGCACGTGACATTACAAGAAGATTACTAAATAGAATCACCCAACCACCAATAAGAATAAAAAGCACTTACTCGAAGAAACTTTCGATATGGGCTTTCATTTTTTTCTTCACTGTTTATAGTTCTCCCATCATAGAGCACTTTCATTACAGTGGCATTGGCATCATCAGCATTTTGGACAAGCTCCTGAAATGTTTCAGCAACTATAAAATCCTTAAAGATCCTGTCTGTTGTATTTACGGTTGTTACCACACTTAAGTGAAATTCTATATACAATTTAATGTATGTATATAATTATGCTTCTAAAACAATTTTTAAACATCGAAGAATATATAAAATATGTACTGCAAATATTTGTTCACATTATATGTAATCATTGAAATATATGCAATCATTTCTTATTGAAACATTTGACATAGGCTTTATAGAAAATAAATTTCTAATTACCTCTCTTTATCAACATGAAATGTAAAATTCGGTAATATCTTTTCAAATAATGCTTTTTGGAAATTACAATACTGATAAATTTTCATTTGAGCATTATTTTCATGATATAAAACCATAACAAATTGAGTTACAGGACCTTTAATATTCATTTATGTAACAACTGCTTCAATACTAATCAAACTTGGCACAAATGTTGACTGGACATGTAACGTAAATTACCTGTTACCATGGCAACGAGGGGACATCTCAAAATTGCCAAAAAAAAATCACTATTTTGCGTTTTTCCATCAAAATTGATTTCAAAGGGCTCAACTTCTCAATGGATTGTGAGTCAAAGGCTTTCCAGCGTTGGTTACACGTTACCTTATGATCGACCTGGGGTCATTTTTAGCCTCTCACAAGTCCAAAATTTTCTTGGCGAAGAGGGGGGCTACCGGCCCCTTTCAACCCCCAAATAGAAGTGGTCACATCCCCCTTCTGGCAACTCCCTGATGTATGTTTTGGACAGGGGGCGGCGCCGAAAAAATGGTCACTTTTTTAAACAAAAAAAAAACAAGTTCTCAAACAAAAACAAGTGTTTCACCATATGAGACAACAAAAGGGGGTGAAAAAGGCGCTAAAAGGCGTGTATATCGGGTAATGGGTTAACAAAAACTGATCAAAATACCTGAAATTACCCAAAAAAACGCGTTTTTCCATGTTAAAACATGGTCTAACATATAATTTTGAAGAAAAATGTTGTTTTGTAGATATTTTTTTTCATTACATTGGATAGACTGCATATTAAAACAAAGGATGGCCATGGCGATATGACTGAAAATCGAAATGCTAAGCAGCTAGCAGTAACTAGCAAATTCGTTGAATTCATATCCCTCGCCGTATTAAACAAAAACACTGATAAGAAGTTTTTTATGTCATGTACTTCAAAATGTACCGTTTCTTACAATGCAAAAAGCCAACCAGTGCCATTTTAATATCCCTTCCCCGACCGACATATTATAATTATTAATTTACAATGTTTTACAAATTAATATTTGAGATCATGGAAAGAAACTTGGGACAGTATAGTGATAATATATGTGCAATGGAGTGCTTGAACACATAAATATTTAAGCCTCATAAAAATGCCAAGGAGAAAGAAATTTGAAATAAAAAATGTCAAACAGTTCTTTCCCAAAACATTTCTTTTTTTATCTCTGAAAGCGTTACAAAAGCTTTACAAACTTTAATCTCTACCACTATACTTTAGAAAATAGGGAAGAATGTATGTAATTTCTGTACTATTTGTAGCTTTGCTTACCTTGATAATTTGCACATCGTTCCTGTATTGGTCTAGAATTCTCTTGAACTTTTCCAACAAGGTTGGTTCGTCAATACCAGACAGCTCGTCAGTGTCAGATCCAGAACTTGTGGCACCTTTATCAGAGAATTTTGAATAATTATATATAAAGAAAAAAAAAACGCAAAAAATACAACAATCGAAAGTTTCGTAAAAAAGACATTGTGTATCAAAGTGCATAAAGTGTACCTACATTGATTATAACAAAAACAGAGAAGACTACTCCATTTAGGTGGTTGCAACATATGCCATTTATGCTGTATTGTCAGTAAATTCAGTCACAATGACCTACTACATGTATTAAGGGAGCAGAAATATAATTCTAAACAAGAGCCGGTCGAACCGGGTGATGCACCACAAATAGGTTTTGGACAAAGAGAGGTAGTTTCTTGTTGATATCTCTTTTGTAGCTACAAAATTACATCCCAGACAATGTTCAAAGTGTAAAAATGAACAAAGGGCAATAACACCAAAAAGGCAAGGCATATTTACGATTCTTATGTACTGCACATCTACTCAATGAGATCTATCTACCTACTAAGTTACTTGTTGATAACCTCTTGTATTTTCAGAGTTATATCCCTTACAAAGTTCAAAGTGTTCAAAGGAAAAAAGGGCAATAACTCCAAAATTAGGCAAGAAAGGGTTACGGTTTTATGCATTTCAGTTCTTCTCAATGAGATCTATCTATCTACAAAGTTTCTTGTTGATACTTTGTGTTGTTTCAGATTTATGTCCCGGACAAGAAAAAGCGGACGAGTGAATCGATGTAACTCAAATATCAAAATCATAGTGGCAAGTGTGTTGAGAATTATTACTGTCGTCATCCATTATTTTTATCGGTTAAAAATCAATGAATATCAATGAACGGATAAGGTCTCTGTGTTCTAGATATCCTCAAAATCAAGAGGGTTTATACAATCCCATTTATCGGTGATGGGCGACATACCTTTTACAAAACAGGCACAATTTAAGGCTTTTCCACATATTTAAGCGTCACTGAGGTGACCTTGTCCATTGACCTAAAGACGCAACGATGTTGCTAACGGACGGATAGGCAGACGGACGGACATTCTTTCTGAGTTGACTTTATGGGATTAATTCTTTGATCTTCAATATTTAAAACCACATATTGATAAGCAACCACTTTTCATCCATAAGTAACGTTTCCCCTCAAATACAGTCTGTGTGGAATACATTTAATTGTGTGCGGACAAACAAACGCCATAAAAATATAAACGAATTGATCATCTGACATATAATTTATTTTCTAGAACTAGAAAATTAATGATCTTTTCATTTGATTGGATGTGGTAACTTAGGTGATGACCTTGTTCAATAGAGCAAAGTAACATTGACCTTTGAAACAAAATTTTGTCAACAGTCTTCAAATTTGGTAGCACTTATTTTTCGTGACCAATAGATGATTTATTCTGATTTACATGTCATTAAGGTCAGATATTAAGGTAAGGGTCATGAAATGATAAAGATAAAATGAAAATTTAAGTATGTGTTATAGGGATTAACTGATTACAATTTGGATGGGTGCAAACATGTTTTACAAAGATCTCATGTTCTGCTCCTTTTGATCTTTTTTTTTTCAAAATTTCTAATAACTAATGATAGAATGATATCAATAGTTATTACAAATAACCAAGACTAATTTCAGAAAAAGTAACTGTATGTTATTGTTATCGATTTCTCTACTTATCTGCAAGTAATGAACACTCTGCCGATTAAAGATATGCTCAAATTTGACATAAGAAAATATACTATGCTCAAATTTAATATAAGAAAATAGTGATGATGATTACTACATAGTCTCTTTGTAAATATAAAATAAACATGTTTTGATGACACACAAAGCAGATGTGTTACATATAACATTCTACAAACTACATGTGGTCACAATATAAATTGAAGTGTCATTAAAAAGACTGGCAATTTTTTTATTAAGAAAAGATCAACTTTACTTGTCCTGTAATGCGGAACGCAGCTTAATTTCCATACATATAGGTCATTCATTCTTTTATTCAAATTAGACATATTCAGTTAGAATTTCTTAGATTTCAATAAATTTCTGTGATTTAAATATTTTACATAAGGATGAGCATAGTATATCTTTAAAAGATGTACTATGTTAAAATTTGATATTAGAAATATTGATAATTGCTACACAGTCTCTTTGTAAATATAAAATAAACATATTTTGACTGCACACAAAGTAGATAGGTTATGTTTAAAATTCTACACAGTATAGGTGGTCACAATATAAATATATAGTGTCAATAAAAATGGCAGTTATTTTGTTTTTAAGTAAAGACCATTTTTACTTGACCCGTATTAGGGAACGCAGCTTCCATACATAGTTTCTTCATTCTTTTATTAAAATTGGCATTCCATAAAAGTTTAATAATTTCCATAAATTTATGTGATAAAAATATTTGTCTCAATGATGAGCATAGTACATCTTTAACTATTTAAATAATACATATATATGTTTTATTTATGTAATACGGGCCTTTCGGAAAGCATGTCTATTTTAAGAGCGTGTTTGCTTACATAGATATACACAAGAACCACAAAATAAAAAATGCTGAACTTAATAGACCTTCGATTTTTATACTGTATGTCAGTGACATATTGTCAAATAGACATGTTTAATCGATAGACTATGAATTCATAAACTATTATGTCAAAATAATTATGACTGTAGCTTCCCCACTTATTGAAAATAATTTCTTATTTTCCGAAAATAACACGCTCTGTTAACAGGCTTAAAAAATGACTATTGAAATCAAATATAACAAATACACACATTTTTGGGGGGTGAAATAAACTGGTATATAACAATTGTTAATTTAGATCCCCTCATAAGTTGTTAGGTCAGGGCTGGGGAGGGGGGTATACCGGCTTGAGGCTGGTATGGAGGAAGTCTCGCCGTCTGTGTGCGGTTCTTCCGGACTGCACAACCAATCTTAATGAAATTTGACAGCAGTCTTTGTCATATGATGACTTGGGCTTATTGTAAGGAATTTGACCTTGACTCTTAAATTTCTTAATTTTTTACTGAAATTGACTAAAATCTCTCTATTATTAATGCATGCATTTTATTCATGCTTAAACATAACAACTTTTGCCAGTACTTTCAAGTAGGTCAAATTCAACTTGAATTTGACTTTTATATGACCTTGACCTTTGACCATTGAATTTTACTTAGCTTTAATGTGTCGAAGATCGTCCTCTTCACCCTGTTCAACTTGACGTATTTACTATACATTGTATATGATTTAAGAGATAAATAAATATAAAAGATTAACTAATTATATACAAGGGAACGTTATGTAAGTTAAATTCTTCCATATTTTTTTCCTGAGGATTTAAAGTGTCACAGGACGAGATATGTAGTTCCTATCAAACAGGCGATAATTAGGCTGGACCGAATGGTATTCCGTATTTCATATCGTATCAACTATAACAGAAGACAATTGGTAGCTTAAGTTTACATTTTGATAACGTATATTTGTCTCGATTGCTCAAGGTGAATATGCACGGACAAAAACTACTATTGTTCGTCCTACATACTTGATATCATTTTCGGAAAATGAAAAAAAAAAGAGATCAAGTACTTGTATCATGTGATCTTAGCGTGATTCTCAAATGAGTAAATGTATATAGTATTTGTATGAGTTCGTATATTTCTTTTATAATTTGAAAACAAACATGCACATATAAACAGAGCGATTCAACCCTAAAACTATAGTGTCTATATGTAATACAATAAAATTTATGTAGACAACGCGCCCCCCACCCCCTCATGCATAGACCCCAGTATAATCGGCAGTGATAAACGCTGGCTGCGATTCTGATGTTTCCACACTTAAGGTAACCCCTGAGCCACAAAGTAGTAATTCGTTAGCCACCCATTGCACTGTCAGCAATGCGGTGAAAAGCGGCTCGCTTCCCTTTCATTTAAACACAGGAACCCGAAATTCTATCCAAAACAAAAAATACGATTGAAAAAATACCATATATATACTTTTTGTAAATAAAATAGACTTACTCATGTTATTTTGCCATTTTCTTCTCCAAATCGAATGTAAAATGATTTAAGAATGTCATATTTATTTGTTGCGGTAAACCTAACAGTTGCACATTAATATCGATTTTCAAATTTTCCGAAAATGATTTGTCCTCGGGCGTATCAGGATACTACAAATCACCGTCCGAGACACAGACACTTGGGGATCAGACCCTATCCCCCGGCTTGAACCGTTCCTGTAAACGGTTAATTAAAAACTTTTTAACATAAATGGGTCTCCTGTCTTAATCATCATAATTAATTTTTAAACCATTTCCATAAGAATAAACAAAATCCCATGTCTACTGTCGAGTCTCAAAAAAGAATTGACGGGACATGTACTAATGATTAAGGCAGATACCCCATTTATATAAAAACGTTAAAAGAGTTTTATTAACTTATTGACCGTTTAAGGAGGCGGTTCATGCCGGGGGATAGGGTCGGGTCCCAAAGTGTCTATGGGCGGTGGATTTAAAGTGGATTGGCCTACAATGGACACATTTTCCATAAGTATTTCAAATATTGATAAAAAACGAAAAAATGTTATATGGGTATTGTTATAAAATAGTACTTTAAACAAAAATGTTGATAAAGCCCTAAACGACATAGTATCAACATTTTTATTATGAATAATAGTATTTTGTTCTAGAACATTTTAAAAAGCTTTCTGATGTTCAGTTTAGTTACTAGTAGTTTATGTGTGTTTAATGAGGGTCCATTCATACATCAAGGCACAAAAAGTATCTTCTGCTATCGAGTACAGATCCTGGACATATCAGCAATTATGCTCTTAAAGGTTTAACATTGAAGCACAAAGTGGTGCTGATTAACCACTGAGCAATTATTTCAGAGTATTAGTCAAAGAGATGAATTTTAACCCGAAAAGTAGGTCACTGTTCAACGGGCAACGAGACCACATAAGGGCCAAGCATAGGTGCTGACTTTTAAGACGTCATTCCCTATGCTAGGGTATTACGCACCCTAATACCCATCCTCGTCGTCCCTGTCTAGTTTGAAGACCCCTCCTCTCAACTTTAATTTGGACGTCGGCAGCTGGTCCGCAGGATACAAGTTTCTGTTTTTGTTTTCAGCGCCACAAGTTCTTCGAATCTTCTACCGATGATCTGTGCCTTTCAACTCTGTGTGCCTATCGGGGGTTAGAGGTTGTAAGAGGGTTCTGATGTCAAACTTCTGGCCCTGTTTAAAGCTTTACTTACATCGCATTCGGCTGAAAATGATCAACGTTCTGTGGACAACGATAACAACAGCCCGCAGCGATTCGTCGATAACGACAACGATTACAGTGGAAACAGTGAAACAAATCTGGCCATTCAATAAATGTACTTACAGTATGTTAATGGGAGCAAAAAAAATCGAAATATGTCTTTTTTGTTATTTTATTCATGTTAACGGCATACATGTATTGTACTCGTTAGCTACTATACATCTATCAAATCATTTGTTCTGTCCCAACTAAATCTGTTCTGGCGTACTCTTGACAATCTGAATGGAATTACCAAATGCACGTTGAAATGTAAGATTGCTGCATTTTGTCTAACCGAACTGTGTCTTGACAAGAGACACCGCTGCATCAATCAACATACTATTTAACCACTCAGTTGGTGATAAAATAATAGACGTACATTTTTCTTTGTTCTTAAGCTAGTTCATGTTGTCCGATATCAAGCCATTCTTGTTCACTTACCGATGTGTCTGGCTTAAATTGCTCTCATGGGTCTGAATCCTGCCCAATATATACCGGTATATTTTATATGATATCTCTTCAACAAACGGCTCTGGTATTAGAACTAGGTTTTCGTTCCGTAACGGGTGACTCAAATTTGATTTTTTTTATTAGTTTTCAACTTGTGTCACGGGTGACTCTAGGTTCCGTGACGGCTGAATTGTCACGTGTTTTTCATTTGGAACCAGGTTTGGTTCCATCACGGGCGACTATATATATAATTTCAATGATAACTGAATAGTCACGGGTTTTACCGTGCATTTATTTTTGTCAGGGGAAATTCCATATTCATAGTTATACGTTGTCCAGATCGCTTATCGCCTGCACTTTATTTTACATCTCTCCGAACGAACATGACCCGCTGAATAGTGTTTTAATTAACTCGGGCCTTGTGGTCTTGACCTTATGTCCCTAGTATATTGGAGCAAAAACGATTCACATCAACAAGCGTTGGGACACAAGACATTGCATTCACGATTCGTCATACAAGCAAATAGCGATTTGGGAAGTCTTATATTTTCCTTAAAAAAATAAAATAAAGTGAACAATTGTTCACGGTGTTTTAGAACATAAATTAATGTAGCATAGAAATTGCATGGCATTTCGTTAATAGCAATAAGAGGAATAAAGGTGATTCCTTCTAATAACGCTTTTCAAGCTTCCTACTCAATCCGTAGGCCTACAGTTTATTATTTGTCAATTATTATATAAATAAAATGTTTATAAATAAAATATTGTTTAAACTTAAAGGAATATGTCTAAATAATAAAGTCCATGCATGAAAGTGGTGTCGTACGTAGCTGAGACACAGGCTTCCGTTGTCATGGTTAAGAACTCTTTCCAGTTATTCAAACATCAATTAATTTATGTCCCCATGTCACAACTAAATTTGAGAATGTATTTGAGAATGTATTCATTACTTGAATAAACTGATTGCTTGTGTCTATAGCTAAAGCATTGTAAAATCATAATGCATCACGATATGTCTAAGCTTTTAACTTCTTCTAATTTTGTCTTTTCTCTGGTGCTAAAACACATCAAAGTGAAATTTAATTCGAATTTCATCCTTCAAAATTCACATTCTTTCGCGAATTCTTATTTCATATGACGTGTGACCATTCGTTTTTTATGCAGTGCAATACATATATCGTGTAATATTGCACTTACAAGATTGCTATATATTATAGTATGCAGAGTTACTGAATGGAAAAATTTAGTGATGTTCAACCGTCAATACACTAAATTATTTTCGTTCACATTTAATTCTTAAATAATATTTCAAGAGAACTGCGCATGCGTGGGCATACGGAAGCTCAAATTTGAGCAAATTTGAAACTACATGAATTGAAAGTGAATTTTCACGTGTAACTATTGATATATGTGCAATTTATCGACATAACCATAATATTTGTTTACAGCTATCCTTCTTGAGGGTAGCAAGATGTTGTGGTTGTTTCGTACTATGTTTGAACTCGGCAGATACTCCGTGCTTGACTTCATATTTTACATGGTTATCGACGGGTTTGCAAAGTCCATCTTAAAGCAAGCGAGGTAACAAAATATGTATCAAGTTTTATTACTAAACATAGCCGTAATATTATCATATCTTTCACTTACTACATACCTCATTTGCGATTATTACGCATAATCATTTCTGTTGATTTGTACCATACCGATTTGTACCGAGAGAACAAATTGAAAGTAAAGAGGTGGAAGAAGAGAAATTTGTTTTCCCATGTTGAGTGAACTATAGTCTATACCAGTAAATACAGGCATGCATGAAGTCATGTCAAAGTGTGGATGTCAGGCAAATTTTAAAGGCTGCAAATACGGGGAATGACAGACTATTCTAATTTTTTTCCCTTCCCAGTTCTCCTTAGCAAGGCTTGCCAAGTTGAAGTTACCACCCATGGACGTGTTCCGATCCGAACTGCAATCATATATGTCAGATATTTTTTCTTGCAGATTCAGGGTTTTCTTCCAGGATTTTGGGAACATGACCCATACTCATGAAATTGGGAATTTCAGTGATGTTTTGTTAAAGGAAGTGGCTAGCCATACGGCTAGCCAAAAGTTCTAGCCGTATGTGAGTCACGTACAACTAGCAAGGACTGTATTGGCTAGCCGTACGGCACTTTTCAAAATTATATGGAAGTCGAAAATGCATATGTTATTTTATTACTTTAAGCGAGGATTTTAATCAAGAAACAGGAATTTTCTTCGTATGTTTACTTTTCTGAGGTTAATCGCCTTGTTGGCTACAGTACAGTAAAAAAAGTATGAATATCGATATTTGTCATCTCAAGACGTTGAGAAAAAATAGCGTTTGGTGGCAGTTAAATAATATCAATTGAAATAGTTTACAAAACTTTGTGATGATCCAATTTTGTTTCATTAAGTTTAATTTTCGACACCTTTAAAATGAAACAAAAAAAAACGAAAATTATTGTTGCTAGGCTCTGATAATTGCGTCAATTACCGACGGTATAGAACTTTGTTAATATAAGGAAAGTTAACATGTTCCTTGAAACGCATTTTAAAATTCTATTCAGGGATTTTTTTGGCTTATTTTATAGCCGTTATTGGGTCATCTTCCCAATTGAAAATAGTATATTATATTCCCAATTCACAGGAAAAAAATCCCAATTGAAAGGTACAAAATAAAAATATTGAATTCTTTGAAAATAAGGGCTCCTTCACTGTAATAGTACTTAATTGCTTGAAGATGCCATCCTAGACAGTTATTGTTTGCATCCATTTAATCACTGTAAAATCTCAGTCATGCATTTTTCCCAATTTTTAACAAAACACCGCTGAAATTCCCAATTCTATGGGTATGGGTCATGTTCCCAAAATCCTTAAAAAAATTCCTGCTATTGTCAGTCCCTGGGTAGGCTTAAAGTAAGGCTTATATAGATTGCTTTTATGACGATATTTATCTACAATATTTGAAAATTATACAATTATTTTTGCTTTTCACGGGTTTTTTTTTTTTTTTTCAATTTTCTTTTTATTTATTCCACACCGATCATTATTCATGTGCTTAATTATAAAAAATTCATCTTTCATACAAATAAAACAAAAATCATAATCATGAGGCACAAAATGACATATGCATGTTCGACTTCCATATAATTTTGAAAAGTGCCGTACGGCTAGACAATACAGTGAGTCCTGGCTAGCCGTACAGGCCCGTACGGCTAGCCACTTCCTTTGTTAAAAAATGGAAAAAATGCATGACTTAAATTTTGCAGTGATTTAAATATATGAATACAAAGAATCATTATATAGGATATCATCTTCAAAACATTTAACCACCATACCAGTGAAGAAGCGCTTATTTTCAAAGATTTTAGAATTTATTTTTATTTTGTAACTTTCAATTGGGAATATTTTCCTGTGGAGTGGGAAAATAATATGCTATTTTCAATTGGGAATATGACGGAATATCAGCTATAAAATACGCCACAAAATTCCCTGATATTCTACCGTATTCCATTACATTTTAAATTCTTTACCTTAATAAAAACAATTTTTTATGGAAATTTATGTCAATGATTATACCCATAACTATTTTCTTTAAGCATATGAAATTAAAAACTCATTCATAATGATATTGGTTAAATGTATTATGTCATCCTTAGCATCATTGTATAGCACAGGGCTTATTTGGCACCCCACATGCCAGATGAAATATCCGGCATGTGTAAAACTAACAGAAATATGCAAAAACAGTTTATGATTAATATGAACAATCAAGGTAACCGCATAATGCTTTTTATGGTTTCAGATCTGATGATGAAAAGACAAAGATTTGGTTGATTGAAGCTGTTGTGTTGTCTCTGATTTGTCTGGTTATCTACTTGACTGACCATTGTCCATACATTCTGATTGTCATGACCTTGGTCACTGGAGTCTACTCACAAATTTGCAGACAGGTTAATTTCAGGTATTAATTGTTTCAACTTTTTTTAAGGTATAAAAATTAAATGAATATGATGCATTTATGAATTTAAGACACTTTTATTCAGTGATCCATTTAGCCAAATTTTGATGTGGTACTCTGAAGTTTTGATTGGCTTGTCCACATTCACACAAACACTAAAAATTAACAAAGCATAGAAACTGAAGAAAAATCCACAATTCCTAAAACCTACATGTTTAACAATTTCTTTATTTTTAATCAAATCAGGAAAAAACATTGGAAATTTTATATGTATTTGTTTTACCTGTCTGGCATCATATAATCAGCTTGCTGTCATGTCATATTCTGAGCATTTTCTCAATTTTTAACATAAATGTACTAAAATCTAAAAGTTGACAAAAGAAAAGGCATGGGCTGTTGCACCGAAAGGTGGAAAAATTCACTATTAATTAAACGGAGGCTTAAAATCTATAACACATGTTTATTTATGTAAAGAACAGCAACTTTTTATTTAGCTGACTTAAAACAGAAATATATACAAAGATAATGGAGAAATATACACATTATTTAATTGAAAGTTATATTTTTATGCTATTCAAAGAACAATTTGAGTAAAAGCATTGCAACACTTTTCAATTTTGGTTTATTTTTATGCCCCCGCCATGTAATGGCCGGGGCATATAGCGTTACCCTGTTCCGTCATTCCGTCATTCAAATTTGACATATGGATACACAATGTATGTCATGATAAAATACAGGTCAAGTTCCAATTTGGTCATGGTTCGATGATTTTTGGCAGAGTTATGCCCCTTTCACTTTGAAAATAATATGAAATTTTCAGTTTCCGTTCATTATCTCCCCAACGGTACAACATATTCAACTCAAACTTCACATATGGGTATGTCAAAGGAATGGGCAGGTCAAGTTCAAATTTGGTCATGGTTCAATGATTTTTGGCAGAGTTATGCACCTTTCACTTTGAAAATAATATAAAATTTTCAGTTTCTGTTTATTATCTCCCCACCGGTACAACACATTCAATTCAAATTTGACATATGGATATGTTTTTGGAATGCCCAGACCAAGTTCTAATTTGGTCATGGTTCAATGATTTTTGGCAGAGTAAAGCCCCTTTCACTTTGAAAATAGTATGAAATTTACAGTTTCTGTTCATTATCTACCCAACAGTGTTACATAATATTCAACTCAAATTTGACATATGGATATGTCAAAGGAATGGGCAGGTCAAGTTGGAATTTGGTCATGGTTCGATGATTTTTTTGGCAGAGTTATGTCCCTTTCACTTTGAAAATAATATAGATACATCTTAGGAATAAGCAGTTTAAGTTTGAATTTGGTCGTGGTTCAATGATTTTGGACAAACTTATCTTTCTTGAATGTTGGAAAAATTTTGAACTTTCAGTTTCAGCACTCATACTTTTGTTGAAATGTATGTAGCCATTATTTTGGCTACAAATATGAAATATGCTATTTTCAAAAGGTTAAGACTGAATAATTTCAGTGCCTTGAACATTGTATGGAAATGGTTTGTGTTAACATTGAAAAGTTTTAAGGGCTTTGAACTTAAAATGAAAAAAATAATTTGTGCAAACAAATTTGGAATTAAATATTATAACATCTGAAATTTTGGCTGCATGCGGGGGCATCCGTGGCATGATGACACATTTCTAGTTTACAATAAGAATAAGTATTCTGGAAAAACGGAAAGAGTGAATGATCTGAAATTTTGCACACAACCGCATGCTCTACTGGTTTCCTAGCAGTTTTCGGCCAAAAATCGCACTTTATAACAAATAAAATAAAAATCAGTCTATGGAGGGGTACAAAACTTTGACAGGGCAATGTTAGGTACCTGTCCAGCATTGCCATGTGCTTAATGTTGCACTTTCATTTTACTTTTTAATTTGAATATAGGCCTGAAACGTAACACCTTTTTTCACCTTTATTAAAAAATTCATAGCAGTTTTCCGGACATTTTTTATTTTGAATATAATTCAATACCATAAAGCAATTTTAAGATGGTTTTACAAGACAAACAGAACTTCCCAACCTTGTCCGTGTCGTCTGCAACAATATTTTCCGAAGTATTGATTTACCTAAAATGGGGTCTTAGTTATTGCGCATGGATACTCAAACCAGAATTCCCCAGGTGTTACTTATTTTTGAAAGTCGCAAGTTCTCTATGTATCTTTAAATAACAGACAAAACTTAAAAACATATAAATTGTTGTACTATTTTAAATGCTGTTTAGCATTGAAAACAAAAGTCTCTCTGATTGACGAAGTAATGTGGATGCCTTACTGGTAAAAATAAGACTGTACTGGGCGAAGATGATAAACGGCCGGAAAACTGCTAGGGGACGGAAACTGCTAGGAAACCAGTAGACATACATCAAATGGAACATTAACATCAAAAATATTATTTCAAGTCTAGTCATGGCAAAAAACCACAGTGGCGTCTCTTAAACTGCCCTGCATTCTTTTTAAAGATATTATGCCCATTCAAATGTATAAAAAAAATTATGCTTGAACAGGTAAAAGTCAAAACAAGTTTCAATTTTATAGTTGGCTTGGCAATAATGATAAATAACTTGCTTGACACAAGGAAATGTCTGTAAATATCCATCAGACTTTAGGCCATCCTTAAAAAAATGTTTGTTTGCAGTAACGCGACTGACTCACAAAATTTGCCCCTACTCAAAATTTTTTTCATGGTCTGGATAAAAAATTATTTTTTTTTGAATCAGAAAATTATGCCTTGTGCTTTGTTTTCGTTCTTTTAAAGGTTAATAGAAGAAATTAAATGTAGGTCTTATTAAATTAGAATTCAGTTATCAATTCATTAATTGTTACCAGATTATCAAAGCATATATTGTCCAGCATTTTGAAATTCCATGTTTATTTGGGAGAACAGTTCAATAAAAAAAAAAAAAATCGACCTACCTACCCACCTTGAAAATTCTGGGTCGGGTTACTGCAAACAAACATTTTTTTAAGGATGGCCTTACCTTTGACGTTCAAGTTATTAAAAAAAAGAGTGGGGCAGTCTTTTCATATTTTAGGCAGATTGATATTTTTATCCCAAACATTTTTCAATATCAACATTGAACTTTTGACCAATCACCATTATTATAGTATAATAGTCAATCCTTTGAAGTATGTAGTCAGTTCAGCTCAACTTGACTATGAAAATATGAGCTTAATGTCACTTTAATACCTATTAGAAATCTAGCAGAAACCATAAGGATAAGAGCAGGGCTTCCATTAGGTTTAAAAATTTGGAAGTCACAGACTGCAAATTGTCTGACATTGGAAGTCACATTATATACAGGTAAGAAGGAAAAGCTTTATATTTTGGAAGACACAAGCCAAAATCAAGGAGTAAATGACTGTCAGACACCTAACTTTCATTAATGGAAGCCCTGCGAGAGCTTACATAATTAATGGACATGTTATGATGTATATCATGGTCTTGAAGCCTCAGAAATCCTCTTTTTTTTTCTTCATTTCTTCAGAAATGTAAAACATGTGTTTAATAATGTTTAAGTAATGGATTACAAATTGAATGTTTTACAACTGAAAAAGTAGCACTGATCATGCAGTAATGTGTTGTAAAGGTAGCAAAATGTAAACAAAGTAGTATTTTTTTCTCTTCTGTACAAAATATTAATTCACAATTATTATACCAATTGCCAACAGAAGATGCAAAAGATAGGTCATGTATATAGCAAATGTCTTAATGAGTACTGGTAGTTTTTGGAAACTGTAACAAGATACCAAAAATTAAACAGTTTTTGAGAAATAAAAATGATAGCGTTTCTGTGGCTTAATTGGCCTTTAAGACCTTAAAAAAGTTTTATCAATAGGATTTTTGACTTAGTTCTTGGTAACTTTTTTATTCTTTTTCTCAGGCGAATTAAACTTATATCAATGTAAAAAATGTATGTTTTTATGTAAAATGCTTTTTCAGGTGTTTTTTTTTCAGGTAGGAAGTTAAATTAACAGATCTATAATATTCCAATTCAATTAAATGAATAAAAGTTTACTGTTTGAAACAATTTAATATATTAATGAAATATTCGTTTAGAAAATGTCTGGCTAGATTCTCATCTGAAAAAAAAACAGGGACATTCTATTTTTAGGGGTTTGTAAAATAGTGTGTTGTTGCTGTTTTCTTTAATTTTCAAATTTAGCATTCTTGGTGAAATCTTAGTCATTCATAGTTTCCAGCCACATTTTTTCCTGAGTATTAAACATCTGTTGATGTTGATTTTTCATTCAGTTTTTCTTTCGTATTTTAACAGACACCTATGGCATCGATTTGTAGAGCATTGGGAAGTCCATGTGCACCATGCTGACAATGTAAAGGCGATCAATGAAAAGCGCAAACAGATTGAAATATGGCGTAAGCTGAGTATGCAGGCACCTGTTAGTAAACCTGTGATGTCACGACTCTCTGACTTCATATGCAGGAGAAATGAGAAGAAAACTCAGACACAAACTATGGCCGCTCCAGTGTTTTCTATGGCGAAAATGTTCAGAAATTCACCAACAACAACTGCAGATGTACAAAATACATTGCCCACTCAGTCAATACCAGCTGTTCAACAACCCAACCAGGCTTTTCCACAGCCAGTGCAGTCATTTCCACAGCCTGTGCCTGTCAGGCCACAGGTAAACATGGCCTTCGCTCCTCATCCTCAGGGTTTCATACCATCAGCTCAAAGTATTCCTCAGCCAAGGCATATTAATCCCCTCCCGAATCAGAATTTCAGTAATGCACAAGCTTTACAGCAGATGCCCACACCGTCACACCAACTAAATCAGACGCCGGTTAAAGCAGTCAATAACTGGTTCACTAGAAATGAATTAAGGCGACGTCCATTGAGAAATTACGAACAAAGAGATTTGCAGCCAGTCTCTTATTTAAGCTCCAGTACAAGCATCAAAAGTAAATTCATGTCCGCTTTTGGTTATTCAGCCGTTGATGTAAATAAACCAGCCGGTCTTAGAAATGAAGGTCAAAACTTGTGTTTTATGAACTGTGTCATACAATGTTTAGCCCATACACCGAATCTAGTGGACAAAATCATTAGTGATGCAGAAAAAGAACTTGACTGTTCTCAGGCAGAGTCAGTTATGATAGATACATTGACAGACCTTATGTCTCGGTGTAAGAAAACCAAGCAAAGTGGGCAAGGTACAGGAGTATTAGATCCGGCTGTATTACAAGAGACGATGTCTGCATTGCCTAATCGACTAGTGGCGCCACCTACTGAACGTCAGAACCAGCAGGACGCAGCAGAGTTCTTTATGTGGCTGATGGAAACCTTACACAATGCCCTTAACAAGAAAACAGCCAAAGGTATTTTAAGCATTAGTCTTAAAGATATACTGTGCTCATCTTTGAGAAAAATAATTTTATGGCAGAAATTTATTGAAATCTATGAAAAGCTTACTGAATATGTCTAATTTGAATAAAAGAACGTACAAACTATGTATGGGAAGCTGTATGCCCTATTACAGGTAAAGTAAAATTTGCCCTTGCTTAAAAAAACTGCCAGTTTTTTTTTATGACACTGACATGTATATTCATATTGTGGCCTTCTATAGTGTGTAGAGTTTAAAACATAACTACATAGTGTGAAGTCAAAACATGGTGATTTTATATTTACAAAGAGACAGTGTAGAAATTTTCAATATTTTCAAATATCACATTTCAGCATTATATAAATTATACTTGTTCATTGAATTTCTTAAATGGACTTCAGTCTTGTCCAGCTTTCTTTTTTGGGATTGTTCATTATCATATATGGGAATAGAATGTTTCTCAGCTAACAGTATACAGTCTTCAGAAGTTCAGTATAATTGTCAAGTATATATTTCAATTTTTGTTTATAAATGTAATATAACTCTGTTAAGTAACATAAACATTCTGTTTGTCTTTTGTTATAGGAAAAAGACCAAAGGGAGGTAACTTAGACACTTTGGAATTTATCTACAAAGATTTGTCAGAAGAAAGGATGCAAGCGTTGAAAACTGCCTGCAGAGAAGAGGTGAGTTACAAAAATATACATGTCAAAGTTTTTGGCAGTATATAGTACTGTATACCTAAGATTAAAGAATGGCCTACTGGTAATTCCTGAGAAAACGTTTCATACCTAACACCATATGATTAACAATGATATTTCCTTGCTTGGTCCTCACTGGAAGGGAGGTAATTCTTGGACTATGTATTCTAGTGGATTCTGGTGGTTTTCAGTTTAATGTGACAGTATAGTATAATTGGATTTCAAGTCATTTAGTTTGCAGAATGATATTCCAGCGATGTTGGTCTGATTAAAGCAGACATTGTTGCCTGTATATAACATCATAAGAATAATCGATTGAAAGTGTCATATATAATGTGAAGAAACTGTTGTTCTGTTATATTATTTACATATATCATGTTTCTGGAAAGGAATGTTGTAACATTTAAAAGTCTTTTGTCTTTGAATGTTTTGTCCCATATTTTCTAAAGAAAATCCTGACAAAAAAAAGCTAATATGAAATTTTATTTCACAAATTTATGGTGTAAACTTGATATTTTGAATGCTTCTATTCACCAGAGAATACTAGATAAGTTAACAATGGTCTGGAATATGGGAAAATATCTCATTGATTTAAGCATTTCTGTCATAAGGTTTATTTCTGTTAGTGTTTTTATTTATAGAGCAGATGCCAAATGGATTGTGAATTTCATAATACAAAAAAAACACACAAAAAACACGATGAATGAAAGCTGTTGGGTTGCTTAAGATTATCTCTTCAAATTGTCTTTTTAACGTTTTTGTTATATACTTCTTGTTACAGATAAATCAAGCAAATGGCTTACAAAACGAAACATATGCAGAACCGATTCAGAGATTGTCCGATCTAGAATGGTTGACATACAAGCAGAAGAATCATTCCGTCATAGACGATATGTTCTCTGGGCAGTTAGTAGAGGCATACCAGTGTTTAGCTGGTAACCATCTTACTGTTAACATGCAAACATTCAATATTTTACCAGTCCCCATTGAAACTGTGAATAATTACTCAGGAATAGTACCTTTAGAAGAGTGCTTTACAAAATTTTGCAACATTGAGCATTTATTTGGACCCGAGGGGTTAGAATGTGAAATGTGCAAGAAAAATTTGACAGGTCACAGTAGTATTTTACAGAATCGTGTTAGGAAATCAGGGTCAAGAACCCCGGGAATGAACTCACATTTAGGCAGCGTTGATTCTGCATTTCAATCAGGTGTTCTATCATCGACGATTATGTCGCCAATTCCAGGACAAACAGACGCTTTAAATGATAGTGGTTTTCAGGACAATGTGTTTCGTACATCAACACCTGTAGGTGAAAGGGGAAGAATAGTGTTCCCATCTCGCCCTGTTCAAGAAACAGAACGACGTTGTTTGTTGCGGCAGCTACCAGACTGTCTAGTCATTCAACCATTACGTTTCTCATACAACCAATTTACTCAGCAATCGCGGAAGATTCATACACCCATTAGTGTCCCATTGAAGGGTCTAGACTTAACAAATATTGTGTACGATAACGTTACAAACAGAGAAGATCTCACAGCTGGACATCGAGAACAGAAATACGACTTGTATGCAGTGTGTTCGCATTTAGGTGCGGAATCAACAAACTACGGTCATTATGTGTGTTACTGCCTGGCGCAAAATGGCGTCTGGTACAAGTTTGATGATGAACTGGTTACCGAAGTAAACATGGAGTATGAAATAACTTCAAAGGAGATCAGACAGAATGCTTACATGTTGTTTTATAAAAGAGCGACTCAGACTCCAGCCTAAAGTGGGAATAACTACAATGTTGAACTGTTTTTGTTGTGTTCACTTTAGTAGTATTCAAATTCAAAAGTTTTTATTAAATGAATAATGAAATTATTTATGTTGAAAGCATATGATGAATATTTAAATTTCCAGCAATTTTTTTGATAACATCACTTGTTTTGCCATTATTTAAAGGGTACACAGCTGTATTGCATTAAATTATAAGATAGTGATAAAGATTTTTGTCAAATCAAGCATTTTTTTTTAGAGAAAAAAGTGATATTTCTTAGTAAATTGCCAGCAGCCATGCATGTTATACTAAACAAACGTCACAATTTGTTATTCAGGAAAAAAGTATGTAAGTTCAATTTATTTGCGATTTAGAAAGATTAATGTATCCAATTAGTTCTGAAATTCGGAGATGTACATGTATCTTTATAATACCTGTTAAGCATCCTTGCAGAGGCGTGAAAATGATAGTGTTAATTTAACAAGGCTGTCTTTTTATAGCTTTATACATGTTATACCCTTTAAAGCTGCATGCCTCCAGATGATCCAAAATATTTCAAGAAAATTAAACAAATTAAAGATTCAAGTGATAATTTATATCTTATGTGCAATTTATGACTGTATTTTGTAGTATTTATCACCATATTTCTACTGCGTTACTAACACAATAGGGGCTATTTATGCATATTTTGGCCTCTTTTTGGTAATTTCCGCAGATTTTAAGTGCCGATTGTAATATGTCAAGTACTTTCTTTGTTCATTTCACAATATTTTACCTTTAAATACATTTTCAAAATTTTCATGAAAATAAGGATGAATCTGGAGGCGTGCTGCTTTAAGACAGTGTTAAAGGAACTCCACTGAGGTTTATTGCATGACAGGACTTAAAAAATCATTTTGGGATTTTTAGCACCATTTGATGATACCAATAACTTTGTAATTTTTCTCATTCACTCACTCCAGTTTTTCCTGTGTGATAATTTGTAATGTGCAAATGACCAAAAAAATGCTTTTAGCTGAAGTCTGACTAATAATCATAAAAAATGTTTTTAAATTTATTTTTCTGAGTATATTTCTTAATTATCTTTTACTTAAATTCCAGTTTTGATTGTCTCAGTTGATCTATGTAAAACTTACATATTTTATATTTTCTTAGGACTTTAGTGGAACTTCTTCATAATTGAGATCATTGATATAACTTGACAGGGCCTAAAAACCCTTCTTTGTAGAGGCCGAATATAAGCTGCTTCCCCAACCAAACTAGCCTCTTTTTTTCCCAAATTGGTCCTTTAAAATTCCCCAGTCTTTTAAAATTTCCCAGAGAATTTAGAAAAAAATAAATAATGGGGTTGAATTAAGGTTTTTTATTGCCATATTTGTATTGCCCAGTGCTTTTTGCTTGTTAAAAGTTTGTGTTAGATTTGAAACCCCTTTTGCCAAAGTATGCCAAAATCACGCATTTTATTCCCAAAGAAAAAGGCTGAGGCCCCTTCCCCAAAACTGTTGTTTTGGCCCTGCTTGATAAAAATTGCTATACTTAAGATTTTTTAATATGCCACCGCTGCATCCAAGATGCGGTGGCATACAGCGATTCACCTGTGTGTGTATGTGTGTTCTATAAATTATGTAGTGAACTTAAAAAATCTTCTTGTGAAAAACCACTAGTCCAATTTCAATTATACTTGGCAGGATTGATCCTTCGGTGAAGGGCTTCCCAAGTTGTTCAAAGAATTACATTCCATGCAGAAATCTGGTTGCCATGGCAACCAAAGGGAATTATAAGAATAAATTTAAAAATCTTTTTGTAAAGACCCAAAAGGCCTAGAGCTTAGATATTTTGCAGTAAGGCAGTGTCTGGTAGACCTCTACCAAGATTGTTCAAATTATAGCCCTGGGGTCAAAATCGGCCCATCCTGGGGGTCATTTGTTTTCCTTAAATGTATATTGTAATAACTTAAAAAAAATTCTTCTAGCAATTGACAAATGCTAGAGTTAAGATTTTTGGCATGAAACATTGCATAGTGAACCTTTGGCAAGATTTTCAAATTATAGCCCTGTGGTCAAAATTGCCCCCGCCCCGGGGGTCATTGATTTTCAATATAAACATATAGTAAACAATCAAAAAATCTTATTATCTGAAGGAACAAGGCTTAGAGCTTTAATATTTGTTAAAATTTAATGATATTATCTATAGGTACTCTACCAAAGTTGTTCAAATTTTGCCTCTAGTGTCAAAATTAGCCCAGCCCTAGGGGTCATAGGTTTTTCTTAAATGTATATATTAAAAACTTAAAAAAAATTCTTCTCAAAATTGACAAATGCTAGAGGCTATACATTTTGCATGAAACATTGTCAGGGCCAAAAAACCCTTCTTTGTAGAGGCTGAATATAGGCTGCTTTCCCAACCAAACTAGCCTCTTTTTTTCCACAGTTTTGTCCTCAAAATTCCCCAGTCTTTAGAAATTTCCAATAGAATTTGGAACAAAATTAAATAATTGTGTTGAATTAAGGTCTTTTACTGCCTTATAAGTATTTCCCAGTGCTTTTTGCTTTTATATTTTGAAGAACTTGTTAAAAGTTTGTGTTAGTTTTGAGACCCTTTTCCCAAAGTATGCCAAAATCACGTATATTTTCCCCACGAAAAAGGCTGAGGCCCCGTCCCCAAAAATAGTGTTTTGGCCCTGATTGTGTTGTGAACCTCTAGCAAGATTGTTCAAATTATAACCTTGGGGTCAAAATTGGCCCACCCCGGGGGTCATTGATTTTCACTATGTACATATAGTAATATAAATCAAAAATCTTATTGTCTGATTGAACAAGGCTTAGAGCTTTAATATTTGTTATATGATATCATCTATAGGTCCTCTACCAAAGTTGTTCAAATTTTGCCTGTAGTGTCAAAATTAGCACCACCCAGGGGGCGGTCAAAGGTTTTCTTTATACATTGTATATATATATAATATATATATATATATATATATATAGTAAAAACTTAAAAAAATCATCTTCTCTAAATAAACAAGGCTAGGGGTTAGATATTTTGCATGAAACATTGTGTAGTGATTCTCTAGCAAGATTGTACAAATTATAGCCCTGGGGTCGAAATTGGACCCACCCCTGGAGGTCATAGATTTTCACTATATACATATAGTAAAAAATTTAAAAATCTTCTTGCCTGAAGGTACAAGAGCTTTGTTGTTTGGTATATAATATCATCTATGGGTCCTTTACTAAAGTTGTTTTTATTATGCCTCTAGTTAAACGCCCGTTTGAAAAACGGGACGTATTATGGGAACGCCCCTGACGGTCGGGTGTATGGGCGGGCGGCGTCCAATTTTGTCCGGAGCATATCTCCTACATGTATGGAGGGATTTTAATGAAACTTCATAGAAATGTTCACCACTATGAGGAGCAGTGTCGCGCACATGAACCAGGTCTCTAGATCAAAGGTCAAGGTCACACTTAGAGCTCATTGAAAAATGCTTGTCCGGAGCAAAACATCCACATGTATAGAGGGATTGCAATATTACTTGACACAAATGTTCACCATTGTGAGGCGGAGTGTCGCACGCAAGATTCAGGTCCTTGCGGCCAAGGTCAAGGTCACACATAGAGGTCAAAGTTCAGATAAAAATATGAAGATGTGTATATGGACCATTTAGTCATCATTTATTGAGGGATTGTAACACAAATGGTCATTATCACGACTATGGCTGTGATACATATAATTAAGGTCAATATATACAAGGTCAAGGTCACTAAAGATGATGAAATATCCAGATTTTGTCCGGAGCATATCTCCTACACGCATGGAGGGATTGATTTAATGAAAATTTCATAGAAATGTTTTCACCATTATGAGAAGCCATGTCACGCACATGAACTCGGTCTCTAGGTCAAAGGTCAAGGTCACCACTTAGAGCTCATTGAAAAACGCTTGTCCGGAGCAAAACTTCCCACATGCATAGAGGGATTTCAATATAACTTGGCACAAATGTTTACCATTGTGAGGCGGAGTGTCACGCACAAAATTCAGGTCCCTGCAGCCAAGGTCAAGGTCACACATAGAGGTCAAAGTTTAGATAGAAATATGAAGATGTGTATAGGGACGATTTAATCATCCTCTATTGAGGGATTGTAACACAAATGGTCATTATCATGACTACAGCTGTGACACATGTACTTTAGGTCAATATATGCAAGGTCAAGGTCACTAAAGATGGTGAAATATCCAGATTTTGTCTGGAGCATATCTCCTACATGTATGAAAGAATTTTTATAATACTTTATGGAAATGTTTACCACCATGATATGTATTGCTCCATGCATTATCCAGGTCAAAGGCCAAGGTCACACTTAGAGCTCATTGAAAAACGCTTGTCCTGAGCAAAACTTCTACATTCATAGGGGGATTTCAATATAACATGGCACAAATGTTCACCATTGTGAGGCTGAGTGTTGCACGCAAAATTCAGATCCCTGCGACCAAAGTCAAGGTTACACATAGAGGTCAAAGTTCAGAAAAAAGTTTGAAGATGTGTATAGGGACCATTTAGTCATCATTTATTGATGGATTGTAGCACAAATGGTAACTATCATGACTACAGGTGTGACACATTTAATTTAAGTTAATATTTGCAAGGTCAAGGTCACTGAAGATGATTAAATATCCAGATGTTGTCCGGAGTATATTTTCTAAATGCATGGAGGAATTTTAATGTTACTTTATAGAATTGTTCACCACCATGAGACGTAGTGCCCTGCACATGAACCAAGTCTCTAGGTCAAAGGTGAAGGTCAGAGTACGAGCTCATAGAAAAACGCTTGTCTGCAGCAAAACTTCTACATGCATAGAGGGATTTCAATATAATTTGGCACAAATGTTCATCATTGTGAGGCTGAATGCCGTGCATAAAATTCAGGTCCCTGTGACCAAGGTCAAGGTCACACATCCTGTGCATATCTTCCCTACTGATTTGTTTTAAGGTTCATTTATTAACACAGTGCCAAGAATAAAAACTTGCTTGCTAGATAACACTTATCCATAATGCCCCCATCTCCATCTAAAGCTTTTGTAAACAGGCGTATTTTGTGACTATGGCACCCTTGTTTTTAAATTGCCCATCCCGGGGGTCACTGATTTTCACTATGTACATATAGGTAAAAAATCAACAAAATCTTCTTGTCTGAAGGTACAAGGCTTAGAGCTTTAATATTTGTTATATAAAATCATCTATAGGTCCTCTACCAAAGTTGTTCAAATTTCTCCCCTAGTGTCAAAATTGGCCCTGCATTGATTCTCATTCTGTACTCGTAGTAAAAAACGAAACTAAAACAAATGTTTTCTAAATTGGAGAAAGCTACAGCTTAGATATTTGACATGAAATGTTGTTTGGTGGACCTGTTTTAAGAATAATTTGAATTAAACCCTTGGGTCAAAATTTTGCCTTGCCCAAGGGGACAGTTATCCTTGATGTACAGCAATGAAATTTTGACCATGTGCACAGTTTTAGTTGTAACATTGAACTTTGATATCAGGTGCCCTAGATTTTGACCTTCTTTCTTGTCCTTTGATGAACAGCTATGAAATTTGAACCATGTGCACAGATTAAAATGTTAAGTGAACTTTGATATCAGCTGACCTAGATTTTGACAAAGTGTCTTACTGTGTTGTCCTTTGATGCAATCATGAAATTTAGGCTGTGTGAAATATGACCCTCACCACCAAATTCACTAGACTCAACTGCATTGATATATTCCTACTCTGATCTTTTATTTGAATAACAATAAATTTAACCACTTATCTTATAATAAGAATTAGATAGGTCAGGGATCCATGCATTATGACAATCTTCAATTGTATAGAAACAAAAAAATCTGTTCCTACACTACTATTTAGTGTTGTGTTAATGCGGTGGCATAGCATTTTTCACAAATGCAATCTTGTTTTCAAGCAGAAAACCTCCAGTTTTATTTTAAAAAATATACATGCACTGAACATTAAACCCTTAATCTTCAGAATTTGTTATATGGACCTGTCCAAGCTTGTTCCTGGTCATTTTTATGCCACCGCAGCATCTGCGATGCGGTGGCATATAGCGATTCACCTGTGTGTGTGTGTGTTTGTGTGTGTGTTTGTGTGTGTGTTATATAGATTATATAGTGAACTTAAAAAATCTTCTTGTGAAAAACCACTGGTCCAATTTCAACCAAACTTGGCAGGATTGTTCCT